TCCCAGGCAGACACACGCCCGGGGCTTCTCAGCCAGGTTTCCACTCCCTTCCCAGCAGATGGTGAGATCACACAGGGCCAGAGGGTTCTACAAGGTGATTGGCGTGCCAACATCCTGCAGGCAGGAGTGCAATGGCAGGGTCTCAGGAGGAACACAGCTCAGGTGACTGCCCAGAAGTGGGCTGGGCCTGGTGGGAAGCCCCCTAGAGAAAGGACAGTGACTCTGAAAAGTCCCCGGGATAGAGCCAGGACAACTGAGGGCACACCACCCTCCCCTCCCCCACCCGAGGCTGAGGTCCACAAGACCAAACGCAGGTGGGCTCAGCATAACTGTCACTGACCTTTTTCTTTGGAGAGGGGTGGGGGCAGGAATATAGGAATACAGGGACAGACAAAGGAACACCCGTTTGCAGAATGCACAAGCTGATCTGCAGATGCAAGTCCACGCCCCACCCCCGCCGTCCAGGGTCCAGCAGGCAGCGGCCCCCTCTGTTGTCAACACAAGACTTGGACAGTCTGCCCTGCTCCCCTGAGTGAGCTCCACACCAGAGCTCCTCTGAAGCCTCTTGGGGTGACTTCTGAGATATGTATCAGCTCCTGAGATCCTACGCTATGTGGGTGCCAGCCCTTTACCAGCCCTGGGGCCTCCCCTCCAGAGAGGGAGTTGGGGGGGGGGGGAGGTAGAAGTCCTTCCCCTGGTGTCTCGATTAGTTCAGGCCCCATCCAGACTTCAGATGAAGACATGTGGGCAGCTGTCACTCTCCTGTCCCCAGCAATAGGACAGCAAGTCCTCTTCACGGTCAGGTCCCTGGTGCCAAAGAAGCATTTGCCCACTCTGATGTCATTACTGAGGTACAGAGCACCCCACCCCCAAGAGGTTTCCAGGAGGTGAGATCTAATCCTGCATGTGCCATGGACACCCCAGGGGGGCCATTGGTGGGGCAGGCAGCCTTCTACTGACACTCCCTGGAAGCCAGATTAACTGTGTTATGTAACCACCACTCCCCACTCCCAAGCCTCATGACTCACTGCTCCTTTGAATTCCTGGAAGGGGTCTTAGAGAAAGAGTCAGCGGCCCCCCAGCTGGTCCGTGGGGATAGGAGAGAGCCCCCACACCGCCTCCCCCTCAGAGAAGTCTGATTGGCATTGGAAGGAGAAACCCTCTGGAGCCAGACTTCAAACAGGGAAATCTAGATCAAGGATATATTTGGCTTTCCAAGCTAATCTTTACATCAACCTGGTCTCTACTGACTTGTAACCCTTTGAAGAAAACTTGGCACCTACGTGTTTGAAGCAGATGAGGCTTATGTAACCAAGAGAGGAGCCCCTGGGCTCTGCCTGCTTCCTGGTCTGTGGTGGGGTGGGCACTCCCAGCTTTCTCATCCATCCCCTGCCTCCAGACCCAGGTGAAACTGGCACTGCCAGACGTGCTCCAGGACCATGTGCTCCTCCCACAAAAATGCCCAGCAAACCTAGAACGCAGCAAGTAATCCAACCCCATGTTTGCCAAACACATTGCTTGTGGATCAGTGGGACTGAGTGCAATACGGCTGGGAGCTAGTCATTCCTATCACCACCCACTCAGGACACATGGTTGGGGTCGGAGAAGCTGACTGCTCTCTCTCCAGAGAGCCAGAGACAGCCATCTCAGAGAGGTGGGGAGCTGCCTCGGCTATGGAAGCAGGGAGCCCTGCTCCCCACAATCACCCTCTAGAGAACACACAAGCCCTAGGAACAAGAAGCTGCAAATACATAAACAGAAGACAGGCTGGCCCAGGTTGGGGTAGGCATGAGGGGAGGGGGCTGGGCCCCTGTGCCGGACCAATTGGAACTGTGTGCATTCACGCATGATTCTCTCCCCCGCCCCCCAATATTCACCGTGGGTTTGGCAGGTCCTGACGAGGGATGGATTCCAGTTGCAACCAACTGGGAGCCGCGGCTGAAAGTGGAGGAAGTAGGGACTCATCACTCGGAGTTTGTGGACGGAGCAGGACTCTGCTGGATCCTGGCCTTGCAGACCCAGTCGCTGTTTCCCTGTGGTGCTGCCCAGGTATGGGCAGGGTGCGAGGCCCCAGAAACCTGGGAGTGAGTGCCCATCCATGAAGAGAATGCTCCCTGTGATCCTTACACACCCTCACCGCCTGCCTCTCTCACACACACACACACACACATACACACACACATACAGCTTCCCAAACAAAAGTGGGAACTCACAAGACATGAGTATGTAAGATTAGGCAGAGTGACCCTGAGATACAGGATGGGAGGCAGCCCTTTTAGGCAGCCCTCGCTGACCTGAGGCTCACACAGGCTGTAGGTCAGATACTCAGAGCTGGGCAGAGCCAGGGCACGGCCCGAGGTCTGCAGGCACAGAGGCCAAGGGCAGCCCTGGTCCTCAGTGGCAGAGCACTCAGGCTGCCTGCTGAGCAAGCATGCCCTGCCAGCTACTCCGAATGAAGGCAACTGGTCAAGCTGCTGCGTCCCTGTCAAGAGTTCCCTTTCTCGCAGGAGCAGATGCAAAGTATCTTTGGCGCTCTCCTGCCTGCCTGCCGCTGCCCTCAGAGGCCAGACAAGGACTACTCTTGCAGGCTTCAGTAAGCCTCGCTCTCTCTTTCTCCCCCCTCTGAAAGAGAAAAGAAAAGGCTCTGCCCACAGCTTAGTTCAAGCCCAGCGCCCAGCCATTGTCTCAGAAGCCCCTTGGGAATGCCCAGCCTCCAACCTGGCCAGCCAGCTGCCTTCTGTCACCTTGTCACCTCAGAACACACTCCGCCCCAGGATCTGAGCCTGTCGCTCTTCAGCCAGGTTGGTAGCTCAGCAGCAAGATGCTCTCACTGCTACCTGGCTTCCAGGAAAGGGGCGGCTCACAAACACACCTTCACGGGCCAGCAACACACACCTCCCCGAATGCCTGGCCATGATGTAACACAGACAGTCCTGCCCAGACTACTCTGCTGCCCGGGAACTGACATCGAGAGACCAGAGAGAGCTCCCTTGGCCAGATCTGAAGAGGTCTAAGCTCTTCCTAATAGGCAAACCCACAGAAATCTGCCTGCTCCAGCCTGCGGGGTGGGGGTGGAGGGCAAAGGTCAGACTTCAAAATCACTGCAGGAATTTGGCATGCGCAGCATGCTCTAACAAAACCCCACGGAGGTATCCCTGGGGAGGCTTGAGAAGAACCCGTTTAATGAAGTGTGGCCCTAACAAAAAGGTTTCTTTCCATGGCCTCTCCTCTCCCTGGTCTTTAAAATGCAATCACACCTCCAGCTAGCAACTTCGCAATAAAAACATGTCGAGTCAAATAACTTGCTGGTACTAATCTAGTGTCTGAAGGCAGGCAGTTCAGGAAGCCTCAGGAGTTAGAAGGCAGGGCGGGGGTGGGGCTGGGGCTGGAGTGCGGTGCGAGATGGCTGGTCATCACAAGGCAGAGCATCTGGCAGAGACCCAAGGCCAGCCTCCAGGGTCCGGGCAGCGCGCCTGAGTCTGGGTCATATCGGAACAGGGCTCACTGCATATTGCTTTCATCCCAGCATCACAGACAGAGAACCTTATCTGGCCAGAGCACACTGTGTTGATCCCAACTGATACCCAGCTCAACCGAGTCATTATTAACCTCTTAACAGCCATGGTGACAAGCAAGACCGAACTACCTTTCGGAGGAGAAACAGAAGCTTTCCAGAAAAAAAAAAAAGGCAAATAACAACACGACTCTTTTCATTGGATGTCTGTCTTAAAGGGGGTTGATCCCTGAAGTGTTAAGTCTTCTGCTTCTACAGTAACTAGAAAGCATGCGGGAACACGGTCCCCTTTTTCCCCTTTCTATTTCTCAAAACCAAGGTGCGCTTGATTCTCCTTCAGCCCACTCTCCGAGCTTTTTAGGGGGGCGGGGGGCGCCAAGGCTGCCTGTTCTGCTCACTCAACCTAGAGTCCTTTTTCTCTCCAAAGCAGGAAGGCAGCGCATCCCAGTGGGCATTCTTAGAAGCGCATGCTGCTGGCTCTCTCCGCCTCTGCCTTGGTCCTTCCCAGTCTAGGTCCAACCCAGGACCAGACGCACCAGCTAGGCAGAACCCCCGGGCAGGCTGGCGATGGCTGGCGGTACCGGCCTTCCTGCTAAGGGGGCGACTTGTCCAAAGGCCCAGGTTGCAGAGGCACGGGCTGCAAGTGTTTGAGTGCCAAGAAAGACCAGGCAAAGTTTGCCGAACAGGGTCATACTGCGCGCCCTCACCTCGTACTCCGACTCCACACTTAAACCCTAAGCCTCCAGCCGGCCTAGGAGTACCAGACACAGAGGGGGCCACAGGCGTGCACGCAAAGGCTCTACCAGCAGGCAAATAGGCTGGGGGTGCCCCTGCGAGCTCCCTCAGAGTTCATGGGTCTCCTGGCCCAGCTGCACGCCAGCTGGGCACTCTGTCGGACCAGGGGTCACTGGCAAGCAGCTGAGTGGGCAGCTGGGAGGCAGGAGGCCCCTGCTCAGAACGCGGGCACTGAAGAAGGAAAGGGGCCCGCGGAGCATCTGTTTGCGCTGCTTTTCATCAACTCCGCGGCCCGTACAGCTCTCCCTGTCGGCCAGCGGAGCCCTGGCTTCCCCCAGGCAGCCCTGCTTCCCTTTCTGGTCCCCGAGCTCGCGGGGCCCAGGATTCAGCGGCTCGCCCAGAGCCCTCCCAGGGGAGGTGGCGTACTGGGGCGGCCGGCCAGGACACTGCGCTGCTGGCTCCAGCGTCGCGGGCGCGCCCGGAGAGCCTAGCTGCTCCTGGAGCTGAGCGGGGGCCCCTGGCTGGCCCTGGACGCGCGGCGCCCGCAAAACTGGCCGCTTCCGAGGGGTCCCGAGTACCCGGCTGCAGGAGGGCGCTCTTACCCGGCCCGGGGGCGCCCCGCCGGCCGCTCGCACGGAGAGGTGCGGGCCCTTCTTCACTACGTTGAGGAAAGAAAGCGCCTCTCCAACCAGCCCAGCACAAGCACACGCGCCCGCCCGCACTCGGCCACCGGCGCCGCCGGGACGCTCACCTGAGTCCTAAAAGCTGTTGAATCCACATGGTCACGTTTCGGGGAGCAGAGGCTCAGA